TGTGTGGCGGGGGGGGGGTTGATACGTGTGGAGATTTTATGTGTTGAATGTGATTTTGGGTGTTTGAATTTGTGATAATCTTGGAATTTTCAGGCTTCAGCAAAGAGGTTTAAGGTATCAGGTACTGGAAAGATATTGAGGAGGAGAGCTGGGAAGCAGCATTTGCTTAGGAAGAAGAATGCTAAGAGGAGAAATAGACTCTCCAAAACGGTTTGACCTCTGTCTCTGTGAACTCATAAATTCTGTTGTGAATGCTTACTTAAACTAAAAAGATCAAATCTTGGAGCAACAGTAAAGTTGTCTCCGTGGGACCTATAGGTCACGGGTTTGAGCTGTGAAAACAACCACTAATGCTTGCATTAGAGTAGACTGTCTACATCACGCCCCATTGGGGTGCGTCCCTTCTCCGGATCCTGCGTGAACGCGAGATGCTTTGTGCATCAGGCTGCCCTTTTTATTGAAGTGGTGGTTAATGAATTTGGGAAGAGACTCCATATTTTGTATTGCATCGATAAGATAATGAAAAGAGATGCTTAAGCATGTGAAACATTCTAAGGAAATATCTCAAAAAGATTTTTTATGTGCAAATATCTACTGCTAGTTTTCAGTTCCAAGCAAGGAAAAATAACTTATTTATTCATGTAGTTTTTGGTTAAGCATTGCTCAATATTGTGTCAAAAGAATACTAATGCAAACCATGCTATAACAAATGTTGTTATTCTACAAGACGGTAGTGAAGAGAGAATATACTTTATTTATCTCCATAGCTGGTTCATTTGGATTAAAGGAACTGTGGTCTCTCTATCAATATTTACTGCGTAAGTTTTAACAACAACAACAACAGCAACTACGCCTCAATCCAAACAAGTTGGGGTAGGTAGATATTCACTTCTTCCTTTAAGCTAAACTCAATATAATCATCGTACTTACCTCGTAAGGTATGGGGGTTGAAAATCCTTTGGAGCTATTCTTAAATAATTCAACCCATCTTGTCGTGTATTAGATAAGCTACACCCCCTCCCTATTCTTCTCTCCCTGACGGTGTAGTATGCCATACTTAGAAAGATGCCCTTCACTTACTTGTGCGAGCTCCCCGCCAGCTCATGCTCCTTATCAACAACCAGGAGGTTGACGCTCCATTCACGTCCATCAATAGAAGGAGAATGCTACTTCCCTAAATCAAGGGACGACGTGCTTTCAATTCCATACAGCTACCTCCAAGCTCTTCCACTGCCTGAATTACCAGCACAGTCTTTGCTTGTTTTGTTCAACTCAAACCTCTATTATAGCGCTTTCTCCACTCTCTCAAAACTTATATAATGAATGTGATGAACATGTATTAGCTTTGATAACAGTAACTATACCCTTGAAAGCATGTAGACAGAAGGCCCTTTTTTCAGACTGTCTTGTTTTCAGGCCTCCACGGCCGTCCGAGGTTCTCCATTCTCAGAAAAGCTTCAATTTTCCCACATGTGCGCAAGCTCGCAAATAGTTTCTGCGGTCACTCTGTATAATTTATTAAATCGGTTATGCTTGTAGCTACCCCGGGGGGAATACGTGTAATAGCCCCGCGGGGAATCCCCGTCCTTCTATAAATGATTGCTGAATAGGGTTTAGGACTATGCCCGTGCTTTCCTATATTCATAAAAAGGCCTAGGTATTTTGGCTAGCCACCAGTTGACATGATTAGTTGACTATCCTTGCGTATACAATAAAGCACCGACAAGTGTCAGAATCCCAAGCGAGTTGGAGTTGTGGGAATCTTCACTATCCCTTATGCTTCTATGGACCCGTTTCAACTATTTTTATGGATCTGTGAAATAAAAATGTCCATGACTAAGAAGTTAGAATGTCATTTACACAGTTGTTAGATACGTGATATTTGAATAATTCCTAACAGTTCATAGATTCATCCCATGATTGCACAATATTTGGTCCAGTTCCTGTAAGTGTGCTTGACATGTAAAGTACAAGTTTATTATTTATAACAGCCATGTTCTCCAGAGATTGCCTGTATGCTTTTCTATTCCAACATAATGGTCCAAGTATGCTTCTGCCATAGGTGTAATCTAAATGATATTTGTGCTAATAGCCGAGGATCTATCGGAAACAACCTCTCTTCCTTCATAAGGTAGGGGAGGGGTAAGGTCTGCGTATACATTACCCTCCCCAGACCGACACGTGGGATTGCACTGGGTTTTTTGTTGTTTGTTGTTGTAGGCTTGCACAAATACACAGAGGTACCGAAAGAGTTGGAGATTATGATTATAAACCATCGTATTGTATGCGCTAGACTTTTTCTAGATGTCTTAGAGTCTGATGTAATTTTGAGAGTAAGATTTTCCAAGTGTTTGGTGACAGGTTCCGGTAATGCAACTTCCGTTCTTCTGCATGCCATCTTGCTCTATAATATTATCGATGCGAATAAATGACAGTACACTTGAGGATACATTAGTTGCAAATTCATATTTATCGAAATTGTGAGAGCCACTTTTTGGCGTTGAGGAGATTGACTATATACAACAACACAACAACAAAAACCCAGTAAAATCCCACAAGTGGGGTTTGGGGAGGGTAGAGTTTACACAGACCTTACCCCTACCCCGGAGGGGTAGAGAGGATGTTTCCGAAAAACCCTCGGCTCGAGAAGGAGATTGACTATATGCAATATGCAAATAGGCTCTGGTTCTGACCATCTTCCTCTCAACTTCTACGGCTGTTCAAAGTGATTAAATCTGCTTCGAACGCTTAATAAGGCGCCGTGTTGATGAAATTTTATGAATACACGGCTTACATTTTCTTGACCTCCCTCCACTTTCTAATATCTGCCATATCCTCTCTAACCTGTGAGTATGGAATTTCCTCTATTGAAGATATTTACTTTTGCTTAATATTATTGGGGCCTCTTATCTTATACCACTAGAAAATCTTGCTGTAGGTGATTCTTGGCCACAAATTAAAACATGGAAAATACTCAGCAACTAAATCTAGCTCCCTTGAGTCTGTTTATCATTTATCTTTTGTGTTAATATTTTTTCCTTTTTGGTGTTCATTTGCTTATATTTGTTTGAGCAGTAATAATTTTTCTAACGCTTAGTTGAGTTCAGCAACTAGCTGATTGACCTCTTATATGTGTGCGTGTTGCCTTTGTAAAACTAATGGTATCACACTCTTTGAGTAAGCAAGATCGACCATACATTTGATTTCTCTGGAAATTTGGAAGCCTATTCTTAGTGCAAGATAAAACGAGTGCTGGTTTAACAGTATCATATAAATAGAACGAACTTAAGCCAAAAACGTAGAGAAGGAAACACGTCTATTTTTTGGCTCGTGAAACTCTCTAACTTCCGCTGTAAGATATGCAGTAGGTTCTCCTCAAAGTTAGATGGCTCATAATCTGATGTTTGTGGATACAGGTACAAGTTGATCGCAGCGACTACAACAATGTAATTGGTGCATTGCCTTATCTAAAGGTAAACCGAGCCAATTAAGGTCAAGATGCAGTTAGATACAGACTCTTCATCAAGTTGCAGAGCTCGTCGGGTTTCTCTCTTTTTGTATAGAGGATGAAGAAAACACCATTTCTTGATTACCCTTTCCAACTTTAATCCATCTGAAATTCTTGTACTTATGATTTTTCAACTCATTTTGACTTGTTAAGCAACCAGTAAGTTCTGTTTCTTTTTCCCTTTGTAACTTTAGTAGAAACTCTTCAGCATCAACTTATAATGATCATTTTGTAAGTTTTTTGTGCAAGGGAGCTTCTATTCCCATTCATATATTGTGATTATGCTTTTGCAAGATATTATTTTTATAACCAAGACTTTGGTCTAATGGTTAGAGCATAACATGTGATTTGTGGGTTAGGGTTGTTAGGCGCACGTCATGGGTTTGAATCCTCATAGTTTCAAACCGTGCACCATTGTCCCTCGGAATTTTTTCCGTTATAAGCTAAGTTGCTCCGACATGGCAGTTTAGGTGCCGCACCCATGTCGACACGACACTAGTATGGGTGTGGGTATGGGATACGTACCGGATCTGGTCAAACAATTTTGGGTACTTTGACCACGACGGATGGAAATTTGAGATGAGATACAATTTGATTCCCGAAATCAGAACCAAAATTAGGGTAAATTTGAAGAAAATAACATACTTTATCTAGAAAATCAATCCTTCACTTATCTACAACTTGAGAATGAAAAAGAAGTCCACAATATACAACCTATACGTAAGTATAACACAAAGTTATCATAATTTAGAGATGTTCTTATATTTTTTTTAATAGTTTAGCCGCACCCCCTCACCATTATCCGTACTAGGATCCGTATCCCCGAATCTTAGAATTTACAGCTCGAAGAATCCGACCTCTAGATCTGCACCCGTGTCCGAGCAACTTAGGTTATAAGAAAAGAGATATTCACGAACAATGTAAATTATACTTCCATTATATTTTAACATGTAAGGGGTCGTTTGGTTGGAATACGATTTATACCGGTATAAGTCATGCCAGTATGAGTTATATTGGGATAAGTAATGCTGGGATTAGTTATGATGGGATTGTTGTTTTTTCATTGTTTGGAATGTTGTATTAAGAATGACAATTGCATAATTTCTAAGAAGAAGGTATAAGTTATACCGGTGCTAATTACCCCACCTTCTATAAGGTATAAGTTATCCCAGTGTTAAAATTAACACTGGGATAACTTATACCTGGTTTGCTAACCAAACAGAGTATTAAGGTGGTATTAAATTTTTATACCACCCTTATACCTTCTTATACCTCGTACCAAACGACCCCCCTAATAGTAGGGGAGTTATTGTTTTTACCATGTTACCAATTAATATTATTTCCATGATTTATTTGTAATTATCTTAAATTGACACGATTGCGTAAATATCTTTTTTATTCCGTCAGTATATAAAACCTCAAGTCGATATATGAAATGTTATATAGTGAAACAAACAATAAATCTGTTAATCTGTAACATTTGGTGTTATTACCTTTGCTTGACACGTAATTTTTATACATATCTCACTTAGCAATAAAGATAATTTTTTTTAATAGATTTATGTTTGCATTCAGCCAGAAAAATAGTTAATTCAACGCATGTCTAGAGATATTGCGTGAAATAAATAGAGGTTCAGCATTCTTTGATTAGTGAATAACTATCTGAGAAAAATAATACTCTTATCCACTCTTCTGAAATCTGAATTGCTCAGTTTTAGGTTCCATTTGTCCATAATTTTTTTTCCCTTTTTCCAATTTCTTTTTTCAAAAATATGTTTGTCCATAAAATTTTGCTAGTTGTTATAAATTTATAAAAAATGAGGTTTTCAAAAACTACTTTTTCAACATTTTCAGAATCTTTTTTTTTCCCCACTCACACAACTGCAATATTTTTTTCAAGTAAAATGCATGTCCAAGCATAATTTCAAATTTCAAATACTATTTCTCAACTTAACTCCAAATATTACTTTTTTTTAAAAAAAATTACAAATTTTATGTCCAATAACGCCTACTTTTGTTATTATTTTTTATTTTTTTAATAGCAGTTGCTTCAACAATCATGACATGACCTACACTCTGAATGAAAATGACACAGACAATTATTTTTGGGAGTTAAACATAATCTTTTTCTTAATTTTTAAACTTTTTGGTATGCTACGTCATATTCCATATTATCCAAATGCTTATGTTAAATAATGCTTTTTTGACAGTTATGACTCCTATGTATTATTTAATTTTATTGACCCCCATATAATATTTTTTTTTGAGAAATAAAGGAGAATCTATTCATCCCATTAGTTGAAGGTGTGTGACTTTCAAATTGAAAAAAAAACTTTAAAAAACAATAATAAAGAAAAGATCACTAACTTTTGAACTTATCCAGAAACTTAGATAAAAGAAAAAAAAAGAAAAATTGGGAAAAAGTCACACATTTTTAATGAAAAATGCTTATATACTATCCTAAATACTTACTTTTATCTAAAACAATTATACTTTAAGTTCATTCATATCCAGGGTGAAGCTAGAATATTACGAGTTCGACCAAAGGCAATAGCTTTAACCCAAATTTTATATTTGTTTTAAAAATCTATTCAATTTGAGAAACAATTAATTTAGAATAGTAACTTAAACGAACTAAAATTCCAAACCCAAAACTCCAAATTCTGGTTCCGCCTCTATTCATATCGTTAAGCAGACAATCTTATATTTGACCGTATTCTTAACGAAACTCACAAATAAAATAGATGAATTGCACGTGTCAATATATTTCGAGAAAAAAGTTCAATCCATTTATTTTTATTATTATTTAAAATTACTCTTCATTATATTTTATGTTGAACGATCGTCAAGAGTCAATTTTTTCCTAAAAATAAAGGAAAGATTACTATAGAGTGCCAATTTAGTCAAATACACAAATTTTGATCCTTTTTTAAGTTTTTTCCTTTAATGAAATACGTAGAAAGAAAAAGAGAAACCAAGTAAGAGAAGTAACTCCACCATCAGATGACACGTGTCACCTCCCACCAACCATTACCCGTCTGATGTAAAGAATCTGGACCCCACTTCCTATATCCAACTTCTAAGCCTACCTGTCACGTGCATATTTAATTCTCCACCAAATTACAAGATTGCCCATTAATAATTTACAAAACAGGTTTTAATTTATATCCTTCACATTGTTTTTAAATTTCTAAAACAAATTCTTTCATTTAATACGGTTCAAATTATTTGTCTATAATATCTTACACACCCTTTAAAAATAGGTCTTTAATGGGTTTATTCATAAGTATATTCTTCTATTAATTTTCATAGCTCCTAAAATATCTCACTTTATTAATATTTCACTAATGATATTGAGAAAAAAATATAAAAATAGCAATAAATAAAAAGTTTATAAATATTTAAGAACAAATTTAGAATGTCTAGGGCTATCCACGATAATTTATGTAAGTAAACAAATTAATTAGTCATATTTAAGTAACAAATAACCTGTTTGGCAAAGCTTCTGTTTGGCCAAAAATATTTTTGTGCCAAAAATGTTTTTTTCTTCTTCTAAAGTTTAGGTGTTGGCCAAGCTTTTAGCAGAAAAAAATACTTTTGAGTAGAAGCAGAAGTTGTTTTTGAGAAGCAGAAAAAGTAATTTCTTCCCAAAAGAACTTTTTTGAAAAATACTTTCGAGAAAAGTATACTTAAAAGTATTTTTAAAAGCTTATCCAAAAACTAATTACTGCTCAAAAGTATTTTTTAAATTAATTAGATAAACACAAATTGCTTCTTATTAAAAGTATTTTTTTGAAAAATACTTTTCAAAATAAACTGAGTTTAGAAATTTGGTCAAACAAGCTAAAAGTATAAAAATGTATGTTATGTTACAATACTCAATTACAAAACCAAAAGAAAATTACTATCAATCATGGATAAAATGCATAGTAGAATTGCCTAAAATACTTTTACATGAAGTGCAATAATTACGAAAATTCATAGTATGAAAATCAGAAAATAAGTTACCAAAAAAAAATTAAAAAAAAAATCAGAAAATATGACCTAGTTCCTGACCCGAATATATGGCGGATCCAACTCGGGGGTAGAATAGTCAAATCAAGTGTCTGCCAATTATTGGACTTAGCTTTCTTGCTTATTTTCGCTTTCTCCACCACTTTATATATATAAATAAAATTAAAATAAAAAACCATTCCCCATTTTCAATCCCTGCAATAAGAAAAGGAGAATCCCAAATTTTCTCTCTATATTCCTAGGGTTTTTGGATTCTTCACTTCCAATTCAAATTCAAATCCAAAAAACCTAGGCGTTAAATTTCAATTTTTTTGCCCAAATTTAATACTATCCTCTGAGTCTCAATTTTGATTTAATCGATTCTACAATTTTATTTTATTTTTGGTTTTGGGATTTTAATGGTACAGTTGATGAAGTCGTTAGGAATGGCAAACTTAACGGTGAAAATGGAACTAGAGGATTCTCTTGAAGACGAATATGGCCCCCTCACTAAACGCCCCAAGTCTTCTTTGCAAGTTAATCAGGTTTTCCTTTTCTCTTTAAATGTTTCGTTGATTTATTTGGATCAGAAGTATTTGTTATTATCAACAGTATTTGTAGTTATCAGTAGTATTTGTAGTTACTCCTCGGTTCGATTTTATGTGATAGTGCTTGACTAAGAAAAATAGACTTTTGGAACTTAATGAAATATTTCATTTAAGGATAAAATGGCAAGGTTAAAGTTAAATTGTTTATTTTTTTCCTTTTAAAAAAGTACGTTTCCTGGTTTATCTGGAGGGAACCTATTTTTAGTTACAAAATAGGATTACTCAATCCCGTGTTTGATTGGGCACTGAGTTTAAGAAAGAAAGGAAGGCTTTTCAAACTTGTGGTCCCAAAACAAGATATAGATTGTGTGGCTATAATGTCTCATTGGGAGAAATGAGAAGTTTAAAATTAAATTTTTTCTAAATATAGTAACTTGTCATTCTTTTTGGGACAGATTTGGAAGGAAAGGGTGCCACATAAGATGGGACAAAGGAAGTATTTTTCTGATGTTTATTTGTGTTTGGTGTTGTGCATTATGGCTTTTTGAACTGAAAGTGCCTTTTCCTTTTCTGGTGGAAGAAAGTGATTTTAGAAGAGGAATTGCTTTGTGTAAAGTAAAGGAGCTGAGAAAATATATTGGATGTTTCGGGTTAATCTGTTTAGATTGCTGAGGAGTTAGTGGTAATTTGGTTGAACTTTAACTATATAGTGAATGCAGAATCCATTGGTTT